TCTGACTTATCAAGACCCTACAGGACAGAGTACATCCCATAGAGTTTCCAAGGCTGTAATTTTTATGGAATGTGCTGCAACATCTTTCTCCCATGGTAGCCTGGTATATTTGAACCACCAACCCTCTAGTTTGCAAGTGCATTCTTTAGTGACTGTGTCACCAAGGATCCTTAAACAATCACTAAACATAAAACATAAAATCTATCACTGAACTGATAGGTAAACCACAAATAACCTGAATATTTGTTCAAACTCGTATATATGCAAAAGAGAATTAAGTATGCAAAAGTCCCTGCTGTTGTAGAGCTTACTTCTCGTGAGAGGAGACACATTAATTAGCAAAAATGATAAGTAAGTTAATCTTATTTTTATCTAAAATAAGTACTTTGTTGTTGTTGTGCTTTGCCATCGAGTTAGATCCAACTCATGGCTACCCCTCCTTGGCTTTCTGAGGCAATATCACCACGGAAGTAGATTGCCCCATCTTCCTTCTGAGGAGTGGCTGATGGGTTTGAACCCCAGCCTTCTGGTTAGCAGACAAATGTCTTAGGCACTATGCCACCAGAGTTCTTAAAGTAAGTACTTTAGTAATTGATAAGTGCTGTGAGAATTAGGAAATAAAAATATGGAAATAGCAAGTAGAATTCAAATCAAATAGGCTGATCAAAGATTATATCATCATTTTAAATCTCTTTTACATTTTATTTTTCCTTCTTTCAAACTTATTTCTCTGTATAATAAATCCTTTTTCTTTCCTGAAATTTTCCCAGATATAGATGTGTATCTATTACACTGACATCAAGAATAGGGAGATTGTGAGTTATGACTGTATATTATTACACTTTGTTTTAAAAGATATGAAGCGAGTTTTAGATGATATATTCAAATCCTAGTGGAAAATAAATTAGTCTAAAGAAAGGTTCAGTGCAACCCACAGTTAATTAATGAAATGAGCCCTAGTTTCAATAGTTAAAAATCTGTTCTTGCTATCATTTTATTGTAAAAATATGTATAACACAACATTTGCCAATTCTGACTAGACGGCACATTACAATAATGGCAACAGCATGTGACAGAGTAGAACTACCCCATAGAGTTTCCAAGATGTCAATCATTACAGAAGCCTACTGCCAATTCTTTCTCCTGTGGAGTGACTTGTTGGTTCAAACTGCTTAACTTTTGGTTAAAAGTGGAAAACTTTAACCACTGTATTAGTCAAGTTCTCTAGAAATCAAATGACATATTATTGTACTGGGCAAATCTGCTACAAAAGACCTCTTTAAAGTGCTGAAGCAATGACTTCTCTTTGAAGACTAAGGTGCATCTAACCCAAGCCATAGTGTTTTCAATTGCTTCATTTGCATGTGAAAGCTGGACAATGAATAATGAAGACTGAAGAAGAGATGATTCTTTGAGTAGTGGTGCTGGTGAAGAATACTGAAAGTATCATGGACTGCCAGAAGAAGAAACAAATCTGTCATGGAAGA